CTATAGGTGCCACCTCTGTTGTAAATAATTAAAACCAAAAAACGTAAGGAGGTGTATCATAAATCTGAATTTTTATTAAATTAATGCAATAAATTTGATCATATTTTTTAATTGTATCAACCATGAAATATATAATTATGAAATAAAAATATTTTTGCAATTGGTAACAATCCACTATTAAGAATAACAGAAGCATTGAATACAATGATTAGTTCATATTTCGTGTTATGTTTTTGTTGTTTTATTATTAGTGTAAATTGTCTGTAAGTTTATTTATTTACATAAAATAATGGTTAAGCACATTATTATTTTTTTAAATATTTCGGGGGAATAAACCACGTATATTTCATTAAAATTTTTAGTTTCAGATAAAAAAATCTAACATAGTCTTTTTCGTATTTTACCACAATATCCCATCTTTTTCTTCTTCTTATTTACCCTTTATCTACCCATTTCTGGACATAGGTCTTTCCTTGCATTCCTTTCAATTGTGCGTGATTCGTATCTTCTGTTTACCTATCGTTTTTCTATGTCGCTTATCCTCCTCTTTTTAGGGTGCCTTGCACTTCCCTTCGTTGTTCCAGATCTTCATTCTGTGATTTTCTTAGTTAACAAAAACCACTCAGAAAGTTACTATGTCCCTGGGCAGATGCAGAAGAATGTGCAGTAAGCATTAGGGACTTAACCCCAAAATGACTTTATGGTTATATACAAGGGTTATTAGACCCATGATAACCTATGGCTTGGTGACGTGGTGGATAAAGACGCAGCAAGTGGGAGCAATAAGGCTGCTAGGTAATACACAAAGGCTAGCATGCCTGTCTATTACGGGTGCTATAAAAACTTCTCCTACTGCATCTTTGGAAGTCCTGTTGAATCTACCACCATTTCATATATTCATACAGGGCGAAGCCAGATCAGTAATGCACAGATTAATTCATAGTCAGCGACATATAAAGCCAGATGCATGGTATTGACAACAGAAAGCTAATCGAGGGGCTAAAACCCGATATTGTGATGGGGAAACCTATCGATACAATAGCTACGAGATATAGCTTTAACAATAAATTTACAATTATTAAGGTACCAGGCAGGGAAGACTGGAATAAAGGTGTACCCATAAAATCTGCTGCTACCTGGTACACGGATGGCTCAAAAACATCGGAGGGTGTGGGAGCCGGCATAGTAGGGACAAATCAAGGGATACATTTCCCAGTAAGTATATCTAAGGATGTGACAGTTTTTCAGGCGGAAATAACTGCAATCCATCACTGCGTGGAAGAAAGAAAAAGGCAGGAAAGAACGTTCTGTTCAGTTGCCATCTTCACAGATAGTCAGGCACTGCTTAAGGCACTCAATTCTGTAGAGGTCAACTCTAAGCTAGTATGAGATTGCGTGTGTGCCCTAAATAAACTAGGAGACCGTAGCAAGGTTACGGTAGCCTGGATACCGGGGCACGAGGGTCATAAGAGCAATGAAAAAGCAGATGAAATGGCCAAACAAATTGACAGAGGAGTGACAGTAGTTTTGGGTTCAAGTTTTATACTAAAAATCACTCAATAATATCTATAGACAGATTATATCTCAAAATATTATCATAAACTAAAGCACTAACTATATTTAACAACAAAATATATTCTCCAAACCACTTCTCCTATTTTGTTTTCAAAAAATTCGTAAAATTGACCCCCTGGGTGACGTCACACGTCATATTTCATTCTGTCAATGTCAGAGTTACCATGCAACCTCCCTTTTACTAACCTTGCAACGTACAACGTTTTAATCAGAAGGGCCACTCTCAGATGCCGCCTTTGAAGTTTTTCAGCACGCGCGCCATGTTTTAGGAGGACACAAACATATGATTTGTGAGGTTATGCAATTGTTTACATTTATGTTTAATTATATTATATTTATGTTATTATATTTAAAACTGTTAATATAATTGTATAGTATGTCTATGATTGCCGTAAGTCAAATAAACCTGGTTTTTTTTCCATGCACACCACATAAACAACACTGATTCCCTTTAAAATCCTCGTAAAACATGGCGGAACGTCTGCGCGAAGGAGATGCGCGTACTTAATTTTCCGTGGAGAGTGGGCATTCTGTTTGTTTATTATTCTGTGGTTTTAGTATGAAATACAGTAAAGGACTGCGTGTGCATTGAAATATGCTGGCCAGACAATTAAATGTGAACGACGCTTTCGAAGTGCATAGACTGAAAATATTACTGTCATCCGACCTGCCTTCATGTCCAAATCAAACTTACTTAAGTGCATTTAAATTAATAATATCTTACTTTTATATATTTTTTAAGGGGTTACTCACTGGAATAACTTTCTACATCTTATTGGATTTAACAAAATAAATGCTTATTGCTCATATGGGCAGATTATTGTATTCATTGGAGTTAAATACCTAATAATAAAATAAGAATTTTGTTAAAAAGAGTATGTAACCGCTAAAGTTGTTAAAGAGATTATGAATAGCAAGGTCATAACTTCTTCTTCTTCTTCTTCTTCTTCTTCTTAACATGCCATACACCAAAGTGCGTAGGCGACTATCTCATTACTAGAATTCTGTTCTTGGCGGCGTGACACAGCTCGCCTGTATTGTATATTCCTGTCCATTCTTTAATATTCCTTAACCAGGATAATTGTTTGCGGCCGGCTCCTCTCCCACCTTCGATCATCCCTTGTAGGATTAACTGTGGTATTTCATATTTTGCTCCTCTCAATATGTGCCCAAGGTAACCAATCTTGCGTTTTTTAATTAATTCAAAGAGTTCTCTTTCCACGCCGGCTCTCTTAAGGACGTCATCGTTTCGAACTCTATCCACCCAAGGTATGCGCATCATTCTTCTCAATGACCACATTTCAAATGCTTCAAGTTTGTTGATAGATGTTTTTTTAAAGTCCACGTTTCCATGCCATAAAGCAAGATGGACCATATGTAGCACTTGACCATTCTGTAGCGTATTTCGAAATTTAGGTTTTGATTACATAGGAGCGGTCTGAATTTCACAAAAGCTTGTCTTGCCATTTGTATTCGGGTTTTTATCTCGTGTTGTGGATCCGATTGGTCATTGATTGTGGTGCCAAGGTATTTAAAAGTTTTCACGCGTTTTATACGATCGTCACCTATGCATATTATCGGGTTTTCTGGAGGGTTTCTGCTAATGACCATATATTTCGTTTTCAAAATATTGATTTTGAGGACATATTTGTGTTATACCCATACCATATTTGTGCATACCTGTGCTATACACCCTATCAAGTAATAACTGCTGATCTTCCAAATTATCAGTTATAATCACTGTGTCGTCGCATAGAGTAGGTTGCTAATTGGTATGCCGTTCACCTTAATGCCTAATTCCGTGTCTTCTAATGCTTCCTCAAATATATTTTCAAAATATAAATTAAAAAGCATCGGAGAGAGTATGCAGCCTTGGCGGAACACCTTTCCGGATTTCAAATTCATCCGTATATTGGTCTTGATCAATCCTCACCTTTGCCATTTGGTTCCAGTATAGATTCTGAATAATTCTGATCTCCTTCTGGTCAATGTTGGCCCTATGTAGTAGTTCCATCATGATATCATGTTTAACATTGTCAAATGCCTTCTCGTAGTCGATGAAGGTGAGGTAGACACCTTTTCGTTGATCTAAGCAGTTTTGTATTAAGGTGTTCAAACATAAAATTGCCTCTCTTGTTCCTAGTCCTCCCTTAAAACCGAATTGTGTTGACCCGCTAAGTTCTTCTAGTATCTTGTACATTCTTGAGTGTAATATCCTAAGGAAGAGTTTCAGCAAGTGACTCATTAAACTGATTAAGCGGTGTTCACTGCATTTTGTGGCATTAGCTGTTTTTGGGATCATCACAAAGGATGACTGCAGCCATTCTCGCGGAATGTAATCAGTATCATAAATTCTATTGAACAGCCTTACCAAGATTTCGATATTCTCCTCTATATTCGATAGTTTTATTGCTTCTATATTAATTTCATCTGGACCTGTTGCTTTATGCATCTTTGTAGTTCTAACTGCATATTCTATTTCACTTCGCATTATTGATGGCCCTGATAAGTTTTCGGAAGGGAGTTTGCGCGTTGGTTGTGTTAGTCTTTCGTCATTAAAAAGTCTTTCCTCGTATTCTTTCCACGCCCTTTCTATCTCATCTTCTGACTCTATATATTCGTGTCTGTCGTTGCGTATTCTTGTTCTGTGGTCGCTTTTGTGTATATTCGATATGTCTTTGATCTTCTTATGTAGTCCAAAATCATCTCCTTTTTGCTGCAATTGTTCTATTTCGTTGCATCTTTCCACCATCCAACGTTCTTTTGCTTTCTTAATTTTCTGGAGAATTTATTTGTGTATCTGTTTGTATTTGTCTTGATTACGTTGTTGTTTATGTTGCCTTCGCTTTTCGATTAGATCCATAATTTCATCCGTCATCCATTCGCTATACTTTCTCTTTCTGATCTGTGTTTTAAGTTCCCTGTTTACTGCCAGAATCGTTCTTTTAATATCATTGACCATCTCTTCGATATCATCATTTTGTTCTATTTCTCGCATTCTTTTATTAATTTGATTTGAATAACTCTTCTTCAGATTTTCGTCATCAGGTCATATCTAGACTTAAGCAACGAACGTCGTCATTTGAAACGTCAAATTTTTAGTTAAAAATGTAATCTTCATTACAATCAGTTGGGGCTTAATACCATATAAACACAATCTTTAACTTATAATGAAAATATTATTTTAAATTTGTAAGGTGTAGTTGTTGGGCAAAAGGGGCAAAAGACAGCGGTTTTATCTGTGCCGCCTCTGTTGTAAATTACTAATATCTTGAAATAGTAAGGAGGCGTATCATAAATCTGAATTTTTATTAAATTATTGCAATAAATTTGATCATTTCTTATTAATTGTATCAACTATGAAATATATAATTATGAAATAAAAATAATTTTCAATAGCAATTGTTAACAATCCACTATTAAGGATAACAGAAGCATTGAATACAATGATTAGTTCACATCAGGTGTTTTGTTTCTATTGTTTTATTATTAGTGTAAATTGTCTGTAAGTTAATTTATTTATATAAAATAATTATTAATCAATCGGGGGGATAAACCACGTATTTATCTTTAAAATTTTATTTCCAGATGGTAGAATTTAGCATGGTCTTTTCAATATTTTTGACTGTTTACTTGCTGTCTTTTTATGTCGTTTATCCACCTCTGTTAAGGGCACTCTGTACTTCTCTTCGTCGTTCTTAGTCTCTATTCTGTGATTTTTTATTCTGTATGCCTTGCTACATGACCTGCTCAGCGCACATTCATCTTGCAAAATTTTAGTGAAAGAAAACTTCCTCGGTATCCACGAGCCTTACAACTACTATAGTGAAGTCGTTTTACCCTGTCGTATTTCGGACTAACGCCCGAAAAATAATTTATGACTCTAGTTACAGCCACTCTGTTATGCTTTCCCCTTTCCTAACTGCTTTGTGGTACCGAACCTCCTACTGGTCGGCTGTAGTACTTGAGGATAAATCCGCTGAGAGAATGAGAACCGCTGAGTACCTGAGGCAAATCTGAACAGACACTTTTATTACGTATGCAACAGGCTAAAACGATTCTACTTTACATGGTTTTTTTCTATTAATTTCTGATTTATATTTTCATTTAAATAAGTATCAGTATGATTTGTAGAACTTTTCTTCATTGTTTTCTTCAATTTTTTTATTGTAGAAAATGTTAATGTATAGCATTTTTCAAAAATCTTGCACGTCATTCAAGATTTACGTCGTCAGAACCCCACAGCGTTGCCAAAACATCAGAATAGTTAGTAAGTGAGGAATTTTTAAAATGTCAAATATTTGTCAAACTATTATATTAACAGTAAATACACTTAGTTTTAAGACTACTGCAACACATTAAAATACATAAGAAAAGATTTTAATACAAAATTATATATTCTAAATTTTAAACTTACCTCTTTTAGGGCTTTAATAGTAAAAACGTCCCGCCACTATTTCTTGTTCAAAATAATCTATCTTATATGAAAGCTTATCAGCTTTCTACAGACTATTTATTTGTTTTGGCATATCACAATCACAATACACAACAATAATTAGTTTAGTTAATTAATTTAAAGCTATTAATCTAAATTTAATATGTATTTATAAATACAATTTATTAATATATATTATATTATGATCAAATTGTGTAAGAAATCAAAACATAAACAAAATTCCTACTCTAAAAAAGCGGCAACACTTTATACACTTTTGCCACACGCTTAACTGTCAATAAAATTTGAAGTATTTTCGTATCAGTTGCATACAATTGTCTAATATATTTAATTAAAATTATTATTTTGTGGAATATTAGACTTAAAGAGTTATTTCATAAAATTTATATTATTAATAATAACAAATGTTTTTGGCTATTTAATCAATATAATTCTAAAATTTCCAATTTAATGATGATAACATTTTTCTGATTATTACACCATGTTGACGCCTATGAAAGATCGAGCAGTTTCGTATGGGTTTCGTATTATTAGCTGTGTTAGGAAAATTTGAACTCTAAGGTTGATGTTCTGGAAATTTTAAAAACAAGTGACGTCACTTTGTATAAATCGTGACGTGCATGTGTTTTACTTTGAAAAAGGGTAAATATCGACGTAGCTGACTCAAAACCTGTTCAGTAGTACTTATGATCTCTTTGTCCAAACGATCTCAAATTCTTAACAGTAGACCCATCACAATGTGATTTAGGCATGATTGATCTGACATAGAAGGCTCAGTCTTTAGCAACACCCTTTATTCTTTAGTGCAAAGTCTACAAAAGAACCATTTATATACTTATGAGTGTATCGCCATAAGTTTCTAACAGGGAATTTTTGCACTGGGACCATGTTCCATGCACAGTTAATTTACAAGCTACACTATTCTATAGCATTATATCCCAGAAAAAGATGCAATATTTGTATTTTAGCTTCATCGATTGTTATGGCACATGTCTCTTATAGTCAAAATTACTCACTCATTCTCTAGCAATTTCTTTGTCTTGAAATTTATTTAAAACAAATTGACTTTAAATGTGGAAGATCACTTAACGCTCAAATTGGACAAATTCTTTTAAAAATCATGAATAAAATTTAATCTTTATTATCTCAAATATAGTTTTCTTATTTCACAGAAACATATGACATCAACTTATTACCTGCCACAATTAATTCGAAATACTGATTAAATTAACCCTTAACTGGTGACCCTACTTTTAATTACATAAATGGTGACCATGAGTCTGACAGACTCCTGGCCAAAAAAGCTGTTTTTGCAAAACTGGCACCTCAAAAATGCAATAAAACAGTGTTTATAAAAACAATATTGTAATGTCATTTTTATTTAGAGAAAAAGAAAAAAATCAAACTGTAGGACTTATAACGAAAAACAGAAAAAATGGTAACATGTTTTATAACACAAAATTTTTCATATTCATTCATTCATGTCATATTCCAAAAAAAATTAAACATATACAAACAAATGTAATATATGTATGTTTAAAAATAGGTACATTTTACATAAAAAATTGTTAAAAACAACATAATTGCAATTCTGCACAAAACCTGCAAATCACTAAAAACGTTAAAAATCTATTCTGCCCTGGTACAATTTATACAAATTTTTCGAGAACATTGCAAACATATGGGTTTTTGACAAATTGTGCATAAATATGCAGTCTTTCTTCTTAATTTGGATGGACAGATATAGCAATATTTTCTTATTTCAAGCTTTTCTTCTTCGTTAGCCTTATTTTCGGGAATGTCAAGGATACTTCCGATCAGTTCTTTCAGCTGCCTTTGTAATGTTGGCATTTCATACCTTCTATGCAAATGTGAGGAAACGAGTTCATTGGCCAGGGTTTTTATAAATTTGAATCTAGTCCAATTATTTTCGGGAATCGAAGTAAACATAATGTATGAATTCACTCCACATATGTCTACTATTTTATAAAAAATAGCCATGGGCCATCTACGTATTCTGCGGCTACAGGAATATTTTACACACTTTTCATCCATCGCGTCTACACCCCCTTTGGTCAAGTTGTAAAAAGAATTTATTTCTGGTAGTCCATTATCTGCATCTACTTCTATGGAATGATGCACGGAAGAAATTAATATCACAGCTTTATTTTTCTTAGTTGTACGGGATAAAAGTGTTAGGTCTTTGGTAAATCCATACAAAGTGTCGCCTTCATTACGATTTGGTCGCGGAAGGAACTGTGGAGGAATTTCTTTTTTATTTCTTCGCATTGTGCCAACGTAAGTGAGTTTATGTTGTTGTAGATGATGTACTAAATCAACTGAACTAAATCAGTTGTCGCCAGTTACATTTCTATTAGTATTGTAAAGATGTTTGACTAATATAACTGCTTGAGTAGGTATGCTCATTCTTCTTTCTTCATTAGTGAGGCTAAATCCATCTGAACCTTTCCCAGCATAAATGTAAGCATTATGTAAATACCCAGTTCGTGCATCAGTCATACATAAGATTTTATCCCATATTTACAGGGTTTGCTGGGAATATACATTTTAAAGCGACATTTGCCTCTGAAGCCTACCAGCATTTCGTCTACACACACATTTTTCCCAACCGTATATGCATCTTTTGAATTGCGTACAAATAAGTCAAAGAATTCTTGGATAGTAGCAGCTGAATTATCACTTGCTCTTTGTTCTCGGTCCGAGGCATCGTCAAACCTTAAGGCGGCCATCAGGGTCAGGAAACGTTTCTGCGACATAACTGCTCTAAATATAGGCCGTCCTTTCCCGTTCGTAGCAAACAAACTTCGTATATCCTCGAAGCAGTCCCAAGAAAGCTCTCAATTCTATTTCATTAGTATCAGCCAACTCAGATTTTTTATATTGTTGATATTTTGGCCGAAAAGTTGCGAGTTTTTCGTTAGTTCTCTTAACAACAAGACTATACATATCTGGTGAAAACAATTTATTAAAATAATAAACGGGACTCGTTGACTTCTCTACTTTTGAACGGATTGATGGGAGTACAACAATATTGTGAGCAGGCGTACGGACGTTTCTAGTTGGCTCTTTTTACTCCACTTATGCCTATTCTTTCCATAGTAATAATTGCTGGAATTGGCACACTCTTCTTCATCTTCGCTAGATATCATTTCTGAGTCTTGTTGCTGTTCATTTTCACTTAGTTCTTGTTCACTGTCCGTAAAATGATCACTTTCTATATAATTTCCTTCTTCCACATCATCGTCACTAATGTCACTGTTCGCCTCATTATACCATTTTGTGCACACTTCTTCGAAATCATCGTCTAATACGCTTACAGCTTTACGAGAACTATCCATATTAAAATAACACTAATGGTGAACTTTCGTCTAGTAGACTCCGCGACGTAAATATTTTGAAAACGGGACGAGCGAGGTACCTCTCATTAACACGTTCGAATATACTCTAAAAGCTAGGAAGGTACACCGAATTACAGGTTGCTACGTATTTGTGGCAAGAAGCGCAGACGCGTTAATAAACGTGCGGAGTCTGTGAGACGCATGTTCACCAGTTAAGGGTTAAATATTAAAAAAAATCTATAATATCTATAAAGGTGTGGGTGGGCACATTGAACGGCCTTTACTGAACGTTTTAATGTTTGGCATTCGTTTGCTCCGGTAGCTGTAGCTTCCTCCGTGGATATTGTTAATTGTTGCATTGGAAACCATCAGGGTCTTCTAATTCTAATACCACAAATTGGTCGCATTTCTCTAGTGATTCTTTCACAAGTTAATATGCTCCTTTTCTAACTTGACTGCACTGAACTGACGACGACCAATAGTCAGAAATATGGATTTTCGGTTGCTTTTCGTCGATATACGTATTTTGTTTTCTTGTTTTGCGAGACAATCCATTACATTTTATATTTATACATTTTATATATACATAGGGTGACCATAATTTTTCAACAAAAAAAAAGTACGTTTATAATTTTTAAGAAAATATATACACTGCTAGTGCCCTAGTCAAAATTTTACGAATCTTTAATG